GGGGTCTGTGCATTACAGGAGACTTAATAAGCCAACAGAAACAACCCCCACTTCTGACAATGAAAGATGTCTCCAGACATCATCAAATGTCCCCTGGGAAGCAGAACCACTCCATGTAAGAACCACTGCTGTTGGGGCACCCAGGTAGCTCAGCTGATTAAGCTTCAGGTCTTCATCTCAGGGTGGTAAATTCAAGCCCTGCACTGGGCTCCATGCTGGGTACAGAGCCTACTAAAAAAAAGGGGGGGTTGCAATGCCTGGGTGGCTCAATCAGTTAAGCCTCCGCTTAACTCTTGGTTTCAACTCAGGTCATGATCTCACTGTTTGTAAGGTTTGTGAGATGGAAGGACAAAGAGCCTCCTTGGGATTCTCTCCCTTTCAGTAGGCCCCTCCCCCACTGGCATGCATGTGCTCAAAAACCACTGCTGTAAATCTGTACTAAAGTATCTGTAAAATCAATTAAAATTATGTGTTTGAAATGAAACCAAATATTTGTTTACTTCATGACTCAGAATAATGATACCGAGGTAACTTTTACTAAGCAGGTAGTATATTCCAGCTCTTCATTATTTTATGTATATTCACAACTATGTATGCATTATCTTCTACTGGTCTCATCAACAATCTTATAAAGTGGGTTATTACTATCCCCACTTCACTTATAGGTAAACAGGCCTAGAGAGGTTGAAACAACTTGCCAAAAAATCTGGCCAACTGCAGCAACGTGGATGGAACTGGAGGGTATTATGCTAAGTGAAATCAGTTGGTCAGAGACAGACATATACCACATGTTTTCACTCTTATGTGGTTCCTGAGAAACTTATAAGACCATGGGGAGGGGAAGGGGGGGAAAAAAAAAGTCACAGAGAGGGAGGGAGGCAAACCATAAGAGACTATTAAATACTGAGAACAGGGGCGCCTGGGTGGCGCAGTCGGTTAAGCGTCCGACTTCAACCAGGTCACGATCTCACGGTCCGTGAGTTCGAGCCCCGCGTCGGGCTCTGGGCTGATGGCTCGGAGCCTGTTTCCAATTCTGTGTCTCCCTCTCTCTCTGCGCCTCCCCCGTTCATGCTCTGTCTCTCTCTGTCCCAAAAATAAATAAAAAACGTTGAAAAAAAAAAAAATTTTTAAATACTGAGAACAAACTGAGGGTTGATGGGGGATGAAGGAAAGGGGAAAGTGGGTGATGGGCACTGAGGAGGGCACTTGTGAGGATGAGCACTGGGTGTTGTATGGAAACCAATTTGACAATAAATTATATTTAGTAAAAACAAACAAAAGAAATAACTTGCCAAAGATCTACACAAAATTCATAATCTCTACCAAATACATCATAAATCCCTCCTTTCAGCTAGTGTCCCAGCATTACTCTGTATAAAAAGTACAAGTACAGGTTCTTAACTAAAAATAATACAAAAAGTATCAAGAAACTAGGTGACTATCCCAAGTTACAGATTGCTTGTAATAGGGTCAAATGATGTACATTGGATCCTTTCCAAAGGCTCATTCCAAAGCACCTGATATTTTTCTCATTGTTCAACTAATAGTTAAAAGTTCCCACTGTAATAGTACTAATCCACTGAGATAAATTGGAAACAGCCTTCAAGTCAATCAATAGAAAGTTCGGGTAAATGGCAGTCCATTCATACTGTGAAATACAATATGGTCATTAAAAATCAATCTCATGGGGCGCCTGGGTGGCGCAGTCGGTTAAGCATCCGACTTCAGCCAGCTCACGATCTCGCGGTCCGGGAGTTCGAGCCCCGCGTCAGGCTCTGGGCTGATGGCTCAGAGCCTGGAGCCTGTTTCCGATTCTGTGTCTCCCTCTCTCTCTGCCCCTCCCTCGTTCATGCTCTGTCTCTCTCTGTCCGAAAAATAAATAAAAAACGTTAAAAAAAAAAAAATTTTTTTTTAAAAAATCAATCTCATGACATAAAAGATACCAGATATATTAAATGAAAACCTCAAAACACAACAGAGTATATAGTATGGTTTGATTTTTTATGGAAAAATGAAAGATTAACAGTGATTACATTTAATGCATTAGGGGACAATCTTTCACTAAAATTAAAACTGTAGTAAGAAAACTTCCCTGAACTAAAAGAGCATTTGAAATTATATGCTAGACAGGCCTACTAAGGAGATTGTGCAACATCTTCTCTAATGTTTGACATTCCATAAGAAACACACAGCATTGCATACTTAACAAAAAGCACGAGGGGAAAGGGTTTAACCCGCGATGACTATATTAAATTCAGTTGATTTTTAACTCTTTAATTACAACAGTGGTTCTCAAACCTTAGCAAACATAAGAATAACATGGAGGGCTAGCTAAAACCCAAGACTGAGGGCCCCAACCCACAATTTCTGATTCAGTAGATCCTGGGTGGGCCTTAGAATTTGCATTTCCAACAAATTCCCAGTTAACTGATGAGGTGAGACAATTTTTAGATGGGGTAGTCAGCACTGCTAGCGTGAATAGTAGGGAATATAAGTGGCCTTCTGCTTACACTGGGAGGATACCTGGATCTGTTGGACAGGGAACACACGTCTATAAATCACCGCTCCAGAAGTCTGGTTTACTAAAGTTAAAAGTAGGGGGAAGAAAAAGATAAAAGCAGAAACTGAGTTCAGATCAAACTAATACCAGTTTTAACAACATTAAACTAGCTGTAAAATGCACCACAGGGGCACCTAGCTGGCTCAGTCTGAGTAGTGAGCGGCTCTGGAGTTCGTGAGTTCAAGCCCCACTCTGAGTATAGAGATTACTTACATATATACATATAATCGTTTTTTAAAAGGTTATATTAATACATATAAATAATCTTTTTTTAAAAAAATGCACTACAACTTTTCAGTTAATTTATCCAATCTAAATTGGCAGTAACAAGCCAAAACCTAAAAAGAAGCTTTTAGGTCTAAAATTCCACAAAATGTATCCAAAATAAACAGTCTATTTCAACCCTAAAGTACCACAGGCTCACATCATAATACGGCTTTATGATCTTATGAGGAAATGCCACTTAAATTCTTTTTCCCAACCGTTACATATTAGCAATGCTGACCCTATAACAGCTCAAAAATGTTGTCTCACCTTACCAATTAACTGGAAAACGACAACTACCAGTGTAAGACAATTTATTTGCATTTAGTATTTCCAGGGGCATCTGGGTGGCTCAGTCAGTTAAGCCTCCAATTTCAGCTCAGGTCATGATCTCTAGGTTCTTGAGCTCCAGACCCACATGGGGCTCTGTGCTGATGGCTCAGAGCCTGGAGCCTGCTTCAGATTCTGTGTCCTCCCTCTCTCTCTGCCCCTCCCCCTCTCGGGCTCTGTCTCTCTCTCTCTCTCTCTCAAAAAATAAACATTAAAAAAATTGTTTTGGGGTACCTGGGTGACTCAGTTGGTTAAGTGTTCAACTCCAGCTCAGGTCATGATCTTACAGTTTGTGGATTCAAGCCCTGCATCGGGCTCTGTGCTGACAGCTCAGAGCCTGGAGCCTGCTTTGGATTCTGTGTCTCCCTCTCTCTTTGCCCCTCCCCCATTCTCTCTCTCTCAAAAATAAACATTAAATTTTTTTAATTGTTTTTTAAATGAAAATATAATCTAAAAATATATATCAGATAAAATTACGCCACTATTTAGAGCCACTACACCACCACTACACACTACAGCCACTATATCATTACTTACGTTCAGATCAGGTATACACGATGTTGTTTTCCTAAGCAGAAAAATACATAACTCAGAAATATTTAAAGCTTTTAAATTTACCTGTTTATCACAGAGCTCAGATTAAACAGTAAAGTTATCCATAAAGTCAAATCTTTTAAGCTAAATTCTAATTTCCTACTGGCAAATTTTTAACATTCCTACACCAAAAAATAACATGACAGGTTTAGAGGAGCATATCCCAAAGGAGCAGACAACAGCAGCCCCTCTCACCTCCCCATTTCATAATCCCATTAAGACTTTTTTTTAAAAAGAAACTAGGGGCGCCTGGGTGGCTCAGTCGGTTGAGCGTCCAACTTCGGCTCAGGTCACGATCTCACCGTCCGTGAGTTCGAGCCCCGCGTCAGGCTCTGGGCTGATGGCTCAGAGCCTGGAGCCTGCTTCCGATTCTGTGTCTCCCTCTCTCTCTGCCCCTCCCCCATTCATGCTCTGTCTCTCTCTGTCTCAAAAATAAATCAACATTAAAAAAACATTTTTTTTAAAAAAAGAAACTAATAGCAATGAGTTGTGCTGTCCAACACAGTAGCCACTAACCACAGGTGGCTATTTAAATTTAAAAGTAAGTAAAATTTAAAGTTCAAATCCTCAGGCACAAGTGCTACATTTCAAGTGCTCAAGAGTCACATATGGCTAGTAGCTACTACACCAGACAGCACATATACATAGCATTTTCCATCACTACAGAAAGTTCTATTGGCAGGGTTAATAATACACTAAAGGAGAAAGGATTCTTAGTAGCTTTAAAGACAGAAAGGAATAAGATTTTTCCATGTTAAGATATTTACTATTGGCTTATTTTTAAGTGCAAGGCTCCCAAAACAAAGGGAAATGGAGTCCTACCATTCTTCCTCCCGAATGTAAACTTTAGAACAGACCAACACGGTGCCAGAAGCTAAAGACTAGGAAAATGTGAAATAACATCCTTTTGGAAAGTTTACTAAAAGTTGCCTAACCTCACTTCCTTTAAAATAACTTTTGGATTTATATTAAAAATAACTTTACCAAATGACAGGCTGTTTCCCTACTGTCCTAAAGGTAATGATTTATAATTTTATGTTTAAAACGCACTGATTATTTAACTTGAATTTCAAGGACATTTTCAGGTCTCATTAATATTCTATGAAGATTTACCCTTCTCTTGAAGCCATTTAAGATTTTAGATGTTCAAATGTTCTCCCTAAAAAAAATACAATGTCACAACATTACAATCAATTCTGTCTACATATTAAAATTTTGCCTGGGTCAATCATGAAGAGAATGCAATTTTGAAAGTTAAAGTTCCAAAAAGAAGCTTCCACAAACTGCAAAGCACATAAAATTTGAGGGTCAAACTAGAAAGGCAACACATGCAGAAAAAGTACTTGTGTAAAAATGTCTCCAACAAAGTTATTTTCTTGGGGAAAAAACCTAGCATCTAGATATGAATTACAATGAAGCTATGTAAGTGACACTGATTCACCACAAAGCACTCAGGAAAACTGAAGAGAGTAGGTATTTGCCCTGTTAAGAAGAGTATACCCTCGCTGTTTGATTAATTTTTTTGTTCGATGTAAGGGAGGCACAATTTTTGCATGATATTGGAAAACTTTTTAAGATCTGGACTAAAAAAAAGGTAAAATGTGTACTCTTCCAGCAACAAAAAATGCCTATAAAATATATTTATATATGATTTTATATATATAATTCATCCCCCCCCCAAAAAAAACAACGTAGAAACTTCCAGAATGTTTGGGAGAGGACGCATATTACATTAGCTATCCAATAATCCAACGCCGTCCAGATACTGCAGCGTTTCAGAACTAGGCGGTTTAAGATGTGCTGCGCTGAGGCGGGGTGAGAAACGACACGGTTTACCTTTAAACGCTTCCAAGTCTGGCTGAAACCAGGGAGATCGTTCGGAAAACGTTTTTAAGAAGCGAGTCCGCTGGCTGCTCTTCCATGCCCCACGAAATTTCTGGTGAGACCGGAGCTTCCCTTCCAAATTCGTATCTAAGGCCCTCACGACACAGTTTCGCCGGGAGAAGTCTCACCCCAAAACACGGCGGCCCCCTCCCCTGCCCCCGGTGGGAAGCAGGCGACGGGAACCCCTAGGCGGGGGAGCCGCAGCCCCCGGAGCGCGCGGGCCAGCGGAGCCCGCCGCGCGCCCAGCCGAAACGTTGGCGACGGCCACCGCGGAGGGCCGGGGAGCCCGGGCCCGCTCGTCGGAAATACGGGGCTACCACGCCGCGCCGGGGGACAGGCCGGTCCGGCGCGGGAAGACCGGGACGGCAGGCGCCGCGATGCTCACAGGCCACAGAAAGGGCCGCGGCTGTGCCCAGGGCTTTCGCCGGGGCGGCCGGCATGGAGGCTGCCTGCGGCGCCCCGCTCCCTTCACGCCCCCTTCCCCTGACAACGCTGCGGCCGGGGCCCGACACTCACCAAACGGATGAAGCCGAAGCCACGGTCCCGATTGATGAAGACCTCGCTGGGCTCGCCGTAGCGCTCGAAGAGCCGCTTGAAGTCCTCCTCCGTGATGTCCGTGGGCAAGTTCCCCACGAAGAGGCGGCAGCGCTGCGTGTACGTTTTCTCGCCCGGCTTGAGGAAGCTCTTGATGTCGATGGTGAAGCCCATCTCCTCGTCGGGGTGGTCCTCCGGGGGCACCGGGGCAGGTGGCGCCGGCTCCCCAGCCAGCGCGAGCGCCATGGCGGCCGTCGGCTCGCTCTCGCCTGCCGCAGACTCCAGAGCGCGAAGGCGGGCCGGGTTTTTCTCAATGCGTACTTGCTTCAGGTTTCCTCTTAACATCATCTTAGTGAGTTCACTTATACCGGATAGAATTCTAGATCTATAGCTGTATCACTATATATACCTACAGAAACGGAATATGGAAGGACAAAGTCAGAGAAGACACCTAGGTCGCCACGCCGGCTGCCCTACCCCGAAGGACTCACGCCCGAGGCGGCTGCACGTTCAAAATGGCGCTGCCACAAGCCGCAGCTACAAGAAGAGACGCCGGCCGTAAGTCCCGCCCCACCGCAAAGGCCGGCGCCGGAGCTGACGCGCCTGCGCAGTATCGGCGCTAACCGGCACGGTAGCTAGCGTGCGCCGGAGCGCGACGTTACTAGAGCTGCGGGTTCAATCAACCTCCTAGGCTGGCGGAAATGCGGTTTCCTGACCTAAGTTAGTTAGCCGAGTGTTGGACTGCGTCGGGTGAAAATTTGTGCGATGTGTGCGATGTGAAAACACAGTGATTGGGGAACATCCATATTTTAAATATCCTGCTCAATTTTCAGTGACTATGAAAAAATGAAAATTTGCAGATTTTATGCATAGCCTTGAAGATGTTTCCCACTAATTGAAACACGTAAAAACACATTTATTTCAGCCGTTTCGACAGCAAGCTTTTTATTATATTTACTGAGACTATAAAATAATTGTGCTATTGATTATTCACAACTCCATGAAATTGCTTATGAAATTCTGAACTCTTACGGACCACATTCTGTGAGAAGGGTCAACATTTTCTATAAGGGGCCAGACTGCAAATATTTTAAGATTTGTGAGCCATACAGCGTGTGCCAAACTACTCGATTCTGCCCAGTACCTCTCCTGGCACATGGGCAGGTACTCTTCAGTGAGTGTTAAAAAGAAATGAATTCACACTCTGAAAAACATTTCAGTAGTTTCTCATGAAACTAAACATATGCTTCCTTTAGGGTTGCCAGATTGGCCCAGTCCCTGAAGCGGTGATTTCAGCCCAGGTCATGATCTCCATGATAGCAGGGTGGTGAGTTCTAGCAGGCATGGAGCCGGCTTAAGATTATCTCTCTCTCTCTCTCTCTCTCTCTCTCTCTCTCTCTCTCTCTCTCTCTCTCTCTCTCTCTCTCTCTCTCTCTCTCTCTCTCTCTCTCCCCCTCTCTCTCCCCCTCTCCTCTCTCTCTCTCTCCCCCCCTCTTTCTCTCTCTCTCCCCCCCATCCCTTCCCTTCACTCTCTCTCTCAAATAAATAAAATCTTAAAAACAACACCAAACAAACAAAAAACAAGAAAAAACAAGAAAAAGACACCTGGGTGGCCCAGTTGGTTAAGCCTCCAACTTGGGTTCAGGTCATGATCTCAAGGTTCATGGGTTGGAGCCCCACATCCATCTCTGCGTTGACAGCTCAGAGCCTGGAGCCTGCTTTGGATTCTGTCTCTCCCTATCGCTCTCTGACCCTCCCCCGCTTGTGTGCGTGCGCTCTCTCTCTCTCTCTCTCTCTCTCTCAAAAATAAACATTAAAAAAAAGAAAAAAAGCCATATGCTTACTTTAGAAAAGCAATCCTACTCCTAACCATCCAAATGAAGTGAAAATTTGCATTCACACAAAAAAACTATATGCAAGTGTTTATAGGGGCTTTATTTGTAATTAGTAAAAACTGGAAACAATCCAAATGTCCAACTAGTGATAGGTAAACAATGGTACACTCACATAATAGAATATACTCACCAATACAAGGAATGAACTATAGAATATATATCAGTGGTTGCCAAGAGTGTGGAGGGGTGAGGGGTTGACTGCACAGAGACACAGGGAAATTTTTGGAATGTTGAAACTATTGAGGTGGTGGCTACACAACTGTATTTACCAAAACCTGGTAAACTGTGCACTAAAAGGCTCAGCATTACTGTATCTAAATTATACTTTAAACAAAAAATTTCAAACTATCCAAAGAAATAAAAATAAAATACCATCAAGACTAATACCTACTTACTTTAGTTGCCACCAAAATTCTAATCATCCACACTCTAATCCCCGTATAGCTCTGTAAATTCCTGAGTCTAACCCAATTCCCCGCAGCCCTCTCAGTTGCTCCAAAGCCTTCTGTTGAGTGCTTGGAATCTCACTCCCAAGTCATCAGCAAAATCCTCAATCTTTCATTTTTTTCTCTGAATATCTTCATCTTCCTGCTTTAACTGGAACATGGTTTTCCTCTGAGGACTGTTTCCCTAACAGCCAAGAAGGCTCCCTAGAAGGGGATGGGTTTTTTTCCTCTATTTACGGGTCACCAGACTTGAGGATGGGATACATTTTCCATGACCCCTTGCAAGTTGGAGAACATTTTCCCTCTCCTTTAACAAAAAACCTAGCTCCAAAAAGCTCGTGACCACATAAGCATGAGTTTATGCTCCCTCTCCCACTCTCCTTCTTCTTCACTCTCCCTTCTCCCTGTAATAGCTTTCTCACCACTCTTTAAATTTACAACCACAAATGTCAGGTAAGACCTCAGCCCCTAGTTATTTCTCTCACCTAACAATTTCAGACTATTTTCTCTCTCCTCAAACCAACACTCCTCCCTACCTCTACCCTCCCTACCCGTCCCTCCTATTACAAGAATGAATTGCCAATGATGCCCTCTTAAGGCCAACCCACTGGATAGCATCTTCTTTCCAAGCACTTTGCTTCCGCAGTTACCTAGTCAGTCACTTGATCTGTATTGAACTATTTCCATTTGCAAAACAAAACAAACTGTTGAAATAACTATCACCTTAAAAATAAAAAAGGAAAGGGGCGTCTGAGTGGCTCAGCCAGTTAAGCGTCTGACTCTTGATTTAGGCTCCAGTCATGAGCTCACAGTTCCTGGGATTGAGCCCTGTGTAAGTCTCCGTGCTGGATTCTCTCTTTCTGCCCCTCTCCTGGCTCATACTCTCTCTCTCTCTCTCTCTCTCTCTCTCTCTCTCAAAAATAAACTTTAAAAAAAAATAAATGTTTAAAAAATAAGTAATAAAAAAATCCTTCTTAGACCCATGTTGTTCTCTAGCTGTTTCTTTACTAGAGAGGAAGGAAGGAAGGAAGGAAGGAAGGAAGGAAGGAAGGAAGGAAGGAA